TCTGAGTATCTCACGCAAGATAGGCCTGAAACGACTATTAATACGGGCTTTAGGAACGTCGCGCCACTAATGTTAGTTGCGATCAGGGCCTGTCGCGACGCGGTTAACCACATTGTAATCCATTCGATCGATTGCTACGTCGGAAAAAAATCAGGTGAACAGAGACAAGTTGGTCGCCATATATACCACGTGCGCGATGCATCTTGCTTGAGGGAATGTGGCCGCGCGAATTTTTATCGTGCCTCTCGTATCGAGGATCGCGTCGAACCATTTCCGTGGCAACGACGAATAAGCTCTCGGCCGGATCAACGAAATAGTAGCGAAACAACGTAGATTAAAAGTTCATCGCGCAAAAATTCTATTAAACGTCCCGCCACGGCAGAATAGACGCGCTCTAACGCTTGCCGGATACGTCCCGATCCCATTGGGCTTCGGTGGACGCCGGTGATTTCGATCACTGATTGTAGAAGCGAGGAAATAATCGCGTTGTAAAATAATCTTACGCGAAACCAAACAGTTTTACACCTCGAGTGGATTCAGCGACAATCCACTGCCAAAATCCGAGAGAGATCGAACGCTCGAGGATGCAAGACTTCATTTCGAAAAATTCTGAAAATTCTAAAATCCGGATGATGAAACTTTGGTGATACGGAAAGCTAAGATATAAAATTATATATAAATAATATCGTCAATAATTGCTTCTTAGCAAGATATTAAAAGAGACACCGGTTTCATTTAACGGTAGAAATATTTTCATATCCTCTCTCGTGCTGGCGGCTATGAAATATATATTTTTAGACATTTATTGGATCGTGCAATAAGTAATTGCGGATTCTTCATGTAAAATTTTAATTCATCGCGGATTCTTCATGTATAATTTTCATTTTGAATGACGTAAAATATCAATTATATATAATGATGTTATATATTATTGATATTAATAATAAAAGTAAGTAGTGTATACTTTTTCCGCAATTGATATACTCCCTTCCTCTTCATTATCTTAAATGTTCTAAATTTGGCCAGTGACTATAAGAAAAATACTGTTTTCCGTATATTTATGTATATATTTTCAACATCTTGAATAGATTTCAAATACCGATTTTTGTCTATAAGAGCGAGCATTGCGCAACACTGTGCGCCGGTGGCACAGGATCATTACCGTTGCTTCCGATTACGTATTCACCGGATCTTCACAGACTTACGTTGAGAAATTGCGCGGGAACAAAAGTCGCGCGATAATCTTCGCTCAAATCGCTGGGATCCCGCAAGTGAGACATAATTTGAACGCTTAACGGTGAGACAGCAGGGCTACGTGTGTTTATCCGCGGCTAAGAGGTATTCTCCGCTTATATACGTTACGGTAATCGCTATTAACACATTATCATCCCTGCTTCCACATATCAATGATAAATATATTAATAGGTGAAAAAACGGTGAATGATTTGTTGATGAAACGCAGATGTCATTCAATGTCCTGCATAGTGGGAAAAAAATAGCTAAGGAATAGTAAATGTTTATTCGGTGAATATTAATAAATTTATTTATATACACTAATGTAAAATATTTGTCAAATGCTTCTATTTATTAATAAAAAAATGTATTAATAGGCGAGTGAAAACGGTAATGAGTTAATATATGTGTTAATGCAAATGTCGTCCGGTATCCTGTCGTAAAAGATGAGAAGTTTGCTCATTATCGTGCGGAGAAATGCGCGGAAAAATAACGCTTCAATATCGGGACCCAAATTAGAGAAGTTACACAGGGGGATGCAATTGAGAGGGGTCGGATTTCGGAGGGTTGCCGAGTGCGTGTAACGCAAACGAAACGGTTTGAACCAACCACTTCGGTGGAAACCTAATTTCCCGAATCAGGGCAAGCCCCCGGCGAATTTGCTTCATTCGAATTTATTTCATCGAATCAACGGGAGCACGCAGATCCCTTTACAAAAACGACACTCGATGCGACGGAAAAGCAAAAAAAAGAATTAAAAAAAATAACAAAATCGCGCTTAGGCGGGTGAATCGCCGACGTTTGGCTATTGTATGGCGATTAATTTTAAACTCGTTTGCGCAAAACTCCCTTCGACGGGAGTCCGTCCAGATGAAAATATTTATTTCCCGAGCCGATGCGCCGCGATTGTTTTGGTAACAAATGGGAAAGTATTTGCGATGGAAATGTGGCCAACATTCCGCAACACAATGGATCGATACATATTGTGAAGGGAGACAGATAATGGACGATGCGTTCAAATACGACGATGTAAGTTACGGGCGCGTGTGTTGCGCGGAATATTTTTTTTCCGTCCGAAAGCCGAACAATACGAACGGAGCGGAAATAACGGCGTTCGATGTTTGGCATCGAATGTTACCGCACGTCCGCCTGCATTTATCGAATTATCCGCGCTAGAGATGTTTATTATTTCGTGAATTTGCATATGCATTGTGTTACGTTTCTCGCGTTTGGTTAGCGCGAAGGAGGGAGTGCAAGCGGCGGTGCGCGGTTGTGTTGTTTGCAGGATACTTCTCATATTCACATATTTTAGTATGCATCCATACGTCGAATAGTATTTTCATTATTCAGTGACGACGCGAAAGATTGCCGTTTATGAGAGTCGTCAGCTAATTAAAAACAAGTCACAGAGTAAGTGTAGAACAGTGTGTTCTGGTACGGTATCGTCAGAGAAATAATGACATAAAATCTGAAAACAATCAAGCATCACAGAATAAGGGATTGCTACCTTGAGGTGCCATTCTGAGGTGCTGAAAAAAAACATCAGGAATCACTAATTTTTTTTTAACGCAACTACTAGTATAAATTATGAACAATTTTCTTTACTCGCTATGTCATAAAATTTTCATCAAACTATGTAAATAGAAACTATGTAAATAGAAAGCATCTAAACATTGCAAATAGAGATAATTGCTTATAATTTGGCGTGACATCTTAAAGACAAGTCAAAACGACGGGCGTTTCGCGCGGAAATCTCATGACAATCAGAGTCGGTTGAAAGTTTTCCCTGCAATAAATTCCGCGTGGCGATTGAAAGTTGAAAAGCAGCGGAAGGACCGCGGCGGGGAAATCGTCGCCGATCCGCGTCGGCCGGAATATCACAATCATACAATGTCGGACTCCATATTCATACGACGCGCCGTCGGAAGAACATCCTTTCGTTAGAAAGCATCCGTGAGCACGTGGTGATTTAATAGGAAAAGTTGGCGAATCGTGCGGCACGAAGCAAATCGTAGTAGACAACCTTTCTCCGCTAAACTTTCCGCGATTGGAAGTCGAGGAGGAGCAGCGAGGATTTGCGCGCGGCTGAATAATCGGCCCGTCGATCGTCATCGGCCAGGAAGTCTCTGAGTTTTCTACAGCGGGTGTATTATACGCCGCGCGCTGTTCCCGTCGTGGCGCAGGTTGCGCCGAGTGGTATGCAGGACAGTAGGTCGCCGTCAGCGCGTCTCGGCCGGTAGTCCCCCTCCCTCCTTCCCTCCTCCCGACCCATTCTCTTTTTTCTTCTTCCTCTTTCCTGCCCCTATCCGTGGAGCGTGTCCTGTTCAAACGACAGCCCGCGATTGTCTTCCTGTACTTCCTGCGTGGAGCCCGCGGCTCGTTACCTCGCAGTCCTCTGACAGGTGAATTGACAATAGGCGTCACAATTTTCCCCGTACAGGAAAAATGTTGCATCAACATACAGGTCAGTACGACGGTCAAAACAGTGTTTTCTCGATCGATTAAAAAAAAGAATTAAATCTCGATCATCTTTCCGAGAAGTTGTGAACGAATGAAAAATGCGCTGGATAAAATTTATTCATGTTTAATTTACTTACTCACGTTAACTTTTTTAGGGTTTTATGGTTATGACGGAAATCAATGTAATCTGTTTCGCAAACGAGTATACATCGCCAAGTTTAAGCTGAGTCTGTATCCTAGTCTGTACACCTGTCAACGAAGCAAGCAAGCAACCCCGTCATACCAACGACCAAATGTTGAACCGACACACTCTATACGTGCGAATAACAATTGTCACGACGTCAAGAAAAACGATGTCGTGGAAAGGAGCGAAGAAAAAAGGAGAAAGGACTCCCGCGAGTCACGTCCCCATGCGGCTTCTTTGTGCTGCTCCGTATTCCAAGTCATTTGTCTTCCGCGAGTGCTCTTTCCTCCACTTCCGCTTCCTTTGACTGCTCGATGCGCCCGCCGGCGGTTCCCACTTCCTGCGCTCGCGACGTCGCGGATGCGTCTTTCACTGACGTCGCGCGGATCCTACTCATCCTGCGACACTCCGTATCTACCTACCCACCTACCTACCGACCTACCCACCATCATCACAACCCACCCTCTCTCTTCTTTTGCCCTTCCTATCGCTTCCTCGCTCGCTCTCGCGCACTCGCTCATTCTCACCATGTATTTCACTCGCCATTTTTCGCTCGCTCTCTTTCACCGTTTCCCCTTTCTCTCCTCTTCCTCCCACTACTACTCATCGCCCCTCGTTCTTCTCTCTCTCTGTCTCTCTCGCTCTTGCTTTCCTTCTCTGTCCGACTAGCCGTCTCACCTCATCCCACGTGCCGGATCATCTCGTGAGAGCTGTTTGGCCCCCTCGCGAGATCCTCCACTCTTCTTCCACCACCAAGCTTCGCAGCGGGACTTTACTTCCCGAAGACAGACGGCGATTTCGTTACTCGCATTCGCGGCCGACATGTCGGATCATCCGAAATTCGTCAGCAAAAACACGGACCGCCGCGAGCCCGGCGAGTACCGGTCCTGAATAAGTGCTCGCGGATCTGATCTCGCGTTACGAGGCCTACTCGCGATATTGTGTACGTGTGATGTTACCTGATCGTGAAATTCGAGGTCATCCTAAGACGATGGCCCTCCGCGAGTACTGATCCTCCTCCGGAAGTTTATTCGCGGTGTGGATATTCCCGGATTTAAGGATCAGCGAGTGCTCCGCCGTTGTCACGATACTTCAGTAAGTCTTCGATTAATACATTAAGTCGACTCCCTTTCCAGGAAGCTCTCGCGCGAAAATAATTTGATGAGGAAAGCGAATGTCAATATCGTCACGTCGCGAGTGGAGAAACTCACGGATGGAATAATCTCGCATGACCGCTCAGCTTGATATCAAGGATTCATATTCCGCGAGATCTCTTTCTCGATTCCATAAATTGCATGACAGAACGATTAACAAAATTACACACGAAATATCAGACGCGAAAATATTAAACATTATTACTTATACGATGTTAAAAGTACAACGCGTTGAGTACTTGGCTATTTTCTCGGCGCCTCTGAATTTTTTAATCATAACTTTATTAACCTCAATAATTATCACGATACATCCATTTTCTAAATTTGGATATTCCATGTGCAAAATAAAAGCACTAATGCCTGGGCACGTATTTGATCCTAGTCATTTCTCTTGCTTTGACCTTTAAATACGAATATTGAAACTCTCAGTATAAAATATATTATATATAGAATATAACAAATGGCGCACATAAAATACAGTTTGCGTTTGGGACCGGTTTTATGTTTTACGAGCGCCACCTTGTATATTTAATGTATACGTACACATTCTGTGGTAAAAATTTAAATACTTGTATTTTTATCGTAAAGACGAAAATAATAAGAATGTTAGTGGGATACGTATCGAGATATTGGTGCTTTTATTCCTTACACGTTCGTTGTTCAAAGTCAGATTACGTCCGATAGTAGCGAAGTCATAAATGTGATTATTAACGAGCCTGCCGCATTTCAATCTATAATCTCGTCTCGAGACTCGAGACATATCGGGACGCAAGATCCAGACGCAAGATTCAATTAACGTTCCCGTAATAAGAACACTCGTCCCGCACCATGCTGTTCCCTTTAGCTCATAACAAACGTTAGTGACTTTTTAATTAACCTAACAGTTACTTCTCGCAGTTTTTTATCAAAATATATCACGCAGGATACGCGTCACCCCCGTTACTCGGCTGCCTCTTTCTCGAGACTTAATTAAGTTAATAGTAACTTCAGCAATCCTGAAAAATTTACTTGTACGCGGCGGGTATGATAAATTCTGCGCGCTCATATGTACGAGTAATTAAAAAATTTGCAGTCATGTACAAGTGGAGACCGACAAACCTCTCTTTTACCCTCGTAATAATCTGGCCGTAATAAAGTCGGGGGAAAAAAACGTTTCATTAAATTTATACGCGTCGAATTTATTAAAAAGCTCGGCGCTTACACGCATTAATCACTCCACGATTAAAGTCGAGATATTTCAGGTTTAAACTCGCGACGCGGCGAGTGTTGTACAACGACGCTTGTCGCGCAAACAGAATTCTCGCTGATAAAATCACATGCCCGCGTGTCTGTCGTGTTCCATATTCTCCGTGATTATAAGCAACATTTGAATTATTACATGCCCACAGACGAACTAGCCTCCTCTCCTCTTTTTCCCCTCCTCCCGACATCTTTTATGCAGTATCTTTTTCGCGCCAGCGAGCCCGATTGTGCCACAGAGGGCACGTGTTGCGGGCAAAAATAAACTGAAATTTGCTAGCCATTCACGTCTGATGCGCCTGCAAGATTATACACCGCGATTCCGATGCATCATGCATGCACCTTCCATTTCTGACGCTACCGGGTGTCCCGCCACTACCGGCAAATATTTTATTCTGCCGAGACGCGGGCACGTACGTAGAGTGCACAAGGAGACGTTTCATAGAGAAAAGTGGGTTTCCCCTCCATTTTTTATAACTTTCCCGCTTGAGTCCACTTTTATCTTTTTCGCCTTCTTGCTTCGCCGCGCACTTTCCAGGAGATCGAAGACGCGCATCATGGAACATTAATATCAGACTCTACATGGACTTCCGGTGTCGATTTTCCTTCGGAAACTCTCTCCGTTTCTCCCGAGAAGTTTAATCACAGAAATGCGACAGGCACACTTCGCGACAGGCACACAGCGCGCGGAGATGAATAAAATCTCAACTAAAAAATCTCGCGTTCTTTGATCTCAAGTAAACTTCGTTCCGTTCGAAACTCACGTGTTACACTCGCTTTAAATTCGTGTATGCACTCAAACAAAATGTTTGCCGGGCGGGGATACACTTTGCTTTAATACAATATGCTTCACCGCAATCGAATTTCGCACAAAAGACAGGCGGGAATTTATGCAGATCCCTCGACTGACATCCCATGTTGCGTATTGCATCGCGGCGGACACGTAAAGATATCTCGGTCTCGAGAGTGTATCGGAGGACACGGTTCACACACGTAAATAATTCCGTTCGCAGGTCCAATCCGACTCGCGCAGAAGTGGGCCGGTCGGCCCCGAGGCTGTAGGCCAGTCCGTGTTTCGTACGCGAAGACCGGGCGGAAGGAAAACCGATCGTGCTTTGCGTAGCGAGCGAGTGAGCGAAAGAGCGGAGAAGTCGAATTTTGCTAGAGGGAAAAAAAGAAAGTCGCGATCGTTAAGCGGCCGCGGACACCCCAAGGCTAAAAGTGAAGACCAAGATCATTATGGAGATCGATTGGCGCGCTGAATCGCGGAGATAATTGCACGACGATAATGAGGCCGGCTTAGGTGGCGAGCTGACGTCGAGTGAAGATATCAACAAGTGTAGAAACGAGGTTGAGAGGACTCCATAGCGAGCACAAAAGCGCTCGCGAATCAAGAATGAAATGTTCCTGCCGGCTGTTTCCGAGCGGAGAATTGTAAAGAAGAGCCTCGGCGTGGGAGAGAATAGCGGTTAGAAAATTAGACGAGGCGCTCCGACTGCCTCGAGGCGGCTAACGTTTCCCGGGGATCAGACGTACGGAAAATCGCGAAGGAGAGAGAGAGAGAGAGAGAGAGAGAGAGAGAGAGAGAGAGAGAGAGAGAAGGTCTAACCTCGTCAAGGACAAAGCGAAGAAAAACGAAGGGTCGAGCGAGAGTAATCAGCGCGCGAGATGGATACAATTATATCTCTAACGGATACAATTATAAAAAGCATCAATTTTTAAACGTTACCACTATCGAGAAGGACACTCAGCTAATACGCCCTTCACGACGTACGCAAAACTGGAAAAGGGGATTGTTTCCGTGTAATAATTTAACAATTATTTTCGCGTATCTGACAGAGGAAAAATTCGCTGCTGAGAATCTCAAGGATCGCTCTGGAAGACAAGAAACTCAAACTAATGAGTTCGTTTGTACAAACAAGAGGCAAATGATTGAGGAATCAATTGACGTAAGAGGATACACGCTGATCCAAACGAAGAAATTATTACGAGAGGAGCAACGGCTGTTTGCACGGGAGAAATCGGCGGAGCAATCGAGAAACCTGTTTTCTCGCGGGGGAAACAAATAATCACGGACGCGCCAGCCTCTCGATCTGAAGAACCCTAATAAGAGGACAAACACGTGTTTAGTACTTTCACCGAAACCGCCGAGACGAATTAATATATCGACGCGATCGCGTAAAATAGACGTTCGTGCGGCAGACGACAGCGAGACCGGTAGAAACCCTAGGGAGACACTCGAAATCGACTCGGCTAATAAAGAGGACCGGATCGCCGGGGAAGATAGCAAGGGAGCGACGTATTCTTGAGCAGCACGTAAATTGGCGAAAGCAGCGTATACGAGGATCCATCGCCGCGACGGACTCGCCCTCGAGTATGCCGTAAGAAAAGTATCAATTTGCGAGAGAACACGGGAGGTGGGCAGGGTTCACGAAGACGCGTGGCTACGGGTCAAAGATCGCATCGAGGACAGAGAGAAAGGATCGTGAAAGTTCCGAAGTGGAGGCGAAGAAAAGCCGGCCCGGCGAGAATAGTGGGTGGCTCAGATATGGCTTGTCCCGGGGTCGGGGGCTCGTAAAGGTGATTCTCAAGCGGGTGTTTTTAACCACCCCACGCGCACCCGCCCGGCTTCTTCGAGGCGAAATAAATATATTCCGGGCTCGGCTTGTCGGGGGAGAATAGGCGTTAGGAAAATAAGACGGCGAAGTGGACGAAGATGAGCAGGCAGTCTGTGCCACCTACCACGGGCATCAATTCCTGCGAGAGGATCAGGCCGGAACGGCCCAGAAATCCGATCCAGAGACTCGTATGGGGTCCCGGATCGCAGTTCCAGGTCGGCCATATCGGCATGTCGGAGGATGAGGGCTCGAACCCGCGGATGACGTTGAGAAGGTACGTAGGTGCCGTACACATTTCGCGGAGATCATTAACTTTTTTGTCACCGACGGAACATATGTTTTCTCCACCATTAACAATAATCTTATTCAATTGAATGAACAGCTTTTTGACAATCGGTATACATTAGCTATCGTTCTATTCACCGGGACGAATATATCTTCCCAAAAATTCCAATGGGACATCAGTGTCCTATCCCTGTGACGTAGGGATCTTAATGAATATTCTCCCGCTTCTAATCAACCTTAATCATCATCATATCTCTTCTACGCGACAGATGTTTTTTTTACTTCTCCGGTGTCGTCCTTATGTTCCGGCTGTGTATCATCTAGCGTAATAAACATATCGCGCATGCCGCAAATTATACACGACACGTTTATCACAAATCTACGTGCAAAGCAACAGTGATGCTTTTACGCGAGGAGGAATTACAACAAAGATCTCCGCGGCTATGACACTAATATAGTTTATAGCTCACAGCTCGGTCGGTGTGTGACGTGTGAACGCACGAGAGAGGGTGGGAGGGAGGGAGGGAGCGAGAGAGAGAGAGAGAGAGAGAGAGAGAGAGAGATTAGTCGTGTGATGCTACGCGTGTAACCAGCAGTCTGTCGTATTATCAAATCGCATTGCGCGTTCGTCTCGAGTCAAGAATCAGAGATAATTAATCGTAAGCCAGACGTGTAATAGGTTTATTTAATCCCCCTTCGTGCGTCGCGTCAATAGGACACACGACATACGACTATGAATTACGAACACGAGAGCGAATCGACGCGACAAATGTGATTACGGAGACGGCGGCGCACAAAAAGCGACTGTTTGAAAACGGAATTCCTCGCACGACGACGTAACCGCAATTGCGTAAGAGTGCGAGAGTGGGTCGCCTCAGAAGGGTTAAATCCGCTTAGCGCCGTTTTCCTAATAATGGCGACTCTGGCGCGGCGATAAATCGTCGGCAGATGTATTTGTCTGCCAGGCGACATAAATTAAGGCGCGCGCGCGCATGTAATTTGACGCGACTTCTTAATAACGGTGAATAATAACGTTAGTTCACGATTGAACGCGCCGTTTACGTGAAGCCAAACGCGGTACGCGATTAGCGGCGGCAAAACGGCTTCAAGTACGGCTGATCGACCTCGTTTGTGTATCGTGTGTATCACTACGTGTGTTTGTATTAATTATTTCAATTAAACCTTTTTGCCAATTATCTTAATTTAACTTCACTAACTATCCATCGTTTTCGAGTTTCGTGCCCGGTGTAATTCTATAATCAGCATTCCACACACAGAAAAATATCATTTCACCGCAAAGAAAAACGATTACTCTTAAGTACTCTTATCTTCAAAAAAGAATATTTTCTTAGTAACAGTACTCTTCGCAAATTTTAGAAAAGCTCGTTATTATGTACTCGAAAGAAGAATTTATTCTCTTTGTAAGAATATTCCCAAACTTCGAGGAGATAAAGTTGATTCAACTCTGTGTAACGAGCAAGTCGAATTTCTGTCTTAATTTAATATTCTTCGTATTGAGATGCTAAATTTGTGCTAGGATTTAGGATGTATTTGAAGAAAATTTGATGTTTATGACAGATTTGCGAATGCAACTTACGAGATACTTGAAAGAGTAATATTTGCTCGAATGTATTTTTCTGTGTGTACTCTCCTGTCCCTATTCTCTCATACGACGACTACGTTCTACCGACATACTATCGCACATCCCTTCCTTCAGGTTGTTAAGATTGTACGAAGGCAGACAGTACAGGGAAGCGGCCGGCTTTCTGATGAAGCTGCCGCACTACACCCTGAAGGCTGCCCTGCCGGATATTCCGGTGGACCTGTTGATCGAGACGCTGCCGCACAGCCTCGCCTTGCTCGAGGCACTCTATTCCCGACTGGTGGAGCTTAACGTCAACGACACGAAGATCCTGCGGATCGAGCAAGTTCTCTGGAGAATTGTGCACCTGATATCCACCAGCCAGGACCACTGTCGACTGCGTATCTGGTGCAAGCTCCTCGTCTCGCTGAGCAGATTATCGCCTGGCACGAAGAACGCGCTGATATCGCGGCGACGCGCCCTCGAGAGAGCCGTCGAGGGACTCGGTAAGCACGGGCTAGTGCCTTCCAGCCTGACGAGCAGCTCCGAGAACTCCGTTACACCGAACCTGGTGCCATTGCCGGTCGCGCTCAAAGAGGAACTCGAGACGCGAACGGAGGCTTACAAGTTGGCGTTGCATAAGATTGAGAACTTCGGCAAGCACGCCGGCACCCACAAAGGTACCCATTTAAACTCACGTTATTATAAATGAGAGTTGTATTCCGGTTTCTATTGTGGTAATAATTAACTAACCTATATGTGTATGCGTGTCAAAGGCTTTAAAGATATATATATATATATATATATATATATATATATATATATATATATATATATATATATATAATTAAGATAAAAATAAGGCTTGTAAGAATCGCATACTGGAATATTATTGCAAATAGGTTTGAATGGAAGAATAATAGTGTTAGACGCACGCGCCGAATATTTTCCCGGCCTTATAACGTATAATGAATCAAAATTTTTCCCACGTCAAATCGACACTGAAACCCAATTATTATTATTTAATTAATTAATTATTATTATTTAATTAATTCTCCCCTTTAAAATTCCCAAATGCATATTTCTTTCTGATTTATATTTAATATATGATAATTAATTTAAATAATAATTAATTAAGAGCAATCGGGTGATAGCCCGAATACCGCGCGTTGCAAATTGATAACACGCGAGAGAGAGAGAGAGAGAGAGAGAGAGAGAGAGAGAGAGAGAGAGAGAGAGAGAGAG